GGGAAACCGCAGGGCTGTTCATTCAGAATTCAGAGAAAGGGAAAGGGAAGTGAATTCTGAAGCTATGAGGACTCGCAGGGCTGCTGATTCAGAATTCAAAGTAAGGGAAAGGGAAGTGAATTCTGAAGCTATGAGGACTCTCAGGGCTGCTGATTCAGAATTCAGAGAAAGGGAAGGGGAAGTGAATTCTGAAGCAACGGGAAACCGCAGAGCTGTTCATTCAGAATTCAGAGAAAGGGAAAGAGAAGTGAATTCTGAAGCAACGGGAAACCGCAGGGCTGTTCATTGAGAATTCAGGGAAAGAGAAGCGAATTCTGAAGCTATGAGGACTCGCAGGACTGTCAATTCAGAATTCAGAGAAAGGGAAAGGGAACAGAATTCTGAAACCACGAGGACTCGCAGGACTGTTGATTCAAAAATCACAGAAAGGGAAAGAGAAGTGAATTCTGAAGTTATGAGGACTCGCAGGGCTGTTGATTCACAATTCAAAGTAAGGGAAAGGGAAGTGAATTCTGAAGCTGTGTGGTCTCGCAGGGCTGTCGGTCAAAAAACTTCAAACTCAGCTCCTTAGAACTACCCAGGAGCTCGCACAGGGCATTTGAAAATTTTGGCGGGACAATTGCTAGCTCGGGAACGAGCAGAGGTAAAAGGCTGAGACTCTGGAGGTAACTACTGTGGTTATAAAACACTTAAGCAGATGGATAACACAAGATAAATGTATGGCAGGGAAAAGTCCCCGATATGCTGCAGTTGCCGAACAGTGCTGAACTCAGCGCTAATTAACTGCTTCACATAATCTAGCGAGTGCGGCCAATAGTTGTTGCCCTGCTGGGGTTACTGTAACCATTCTGGCTGGAACTGCATCGCTGCAAATTATTTAGCCTTTTGGCTTATTCAGTGTGAGTTGAGATCCGGCTTAGTCACTAGTTTCATACCGAATCCAGATCGGTTCATGAAAGCTTGTTAATGAAGTATACGTACCAAACATTACTTCGAAGTTACTTAAAATGAGATCCAAAGTTGTATTTGCTCCTGTTGTTGGCACACTGACATTCCGGATCATTAGCCCCAACCGTTCTATCATCTCTTTGAAAGTTTGATTACGACCTTCGCTCACATCGCGATTAAGGTCTCCCACTACAAGCTTTCGGCCATCTTCCGCAGATATGTTTGCCAAGAAAAGTCGGATGCTGTCATCCGTAACTCCTGGACTGGCATATACGCTAGCGATGAGAACATTGTCCAGTCTGAACAGAGCTGCATAAAATCCACTCCCATTTTCATCGTTTGTTACGCTGCCGACATCTCGCACTTTTTCTAACACTTTCTCCGACACTAGGCAACATGCTCCTCCAGCCGTTCTGTAAGTTCCAGTTCAGTCACTTCGTGGTACTGTCTGAAACCCGCCAACAACAATTCGATCACCTGGCAATGTCTAAGTTTCACCCAGTAATATTGCGTCGCTGGTAGTGAAAACTCCATCCTTTGCAATCTGATGACTGTGCTTTGCGAAGCTTTGAACGTTGTGGTAGATAATTTGAATACCGCTGCGTGTGGAATGCAAAAACTTGTACTTTGGTTGTAATGCGCACTGCTCCTGTAGCCTTAGCTCCGCAGTCAGTGGATCGTTGTTCTGCGGTCCACGAGGAGGCTGAAACGACCCAATGATGAAAAGGCCGGAAAGTGAATTAACACGTGAAAGTGCAACATAGAGCAGATCACGCGTCATTCTTGCTGTAAGGTGAACGACAACAGATGGATAAGTTTGACCCTGACTCTTATGTATCGTCATAGCCTCCGCGGGTACCAATGGAAATTGTTTCCGGAGTACTTGTAAATTTGATGATTTGCTTCGCTTGATCGATACTACAGTAGGTTCCAGCGGGGTCCAGTTTAGAGGACACTGCAAGTGGTTAATGATAGGGCTGTATCGTCTTCGCGCACTGCTTCCAACTTCTGGTTCATCGAACGCGATCCACACTCGCAACGGTTTTCCCGAACCAGTTTGTCGATTTCGCTCTGGATGTTGGGAACCCATATCAATTCTGACTAGCTGTCCTGTTGCACCGTTTGTAAGGCCGTCGCTTGTATCCAAATTGTAAGTGATCATGTATCTGCCTCCGACTTTCAAATACAATGTTCGAGGCAAACCCATTGTTTGATGCGTTGTCACCCGCTCGTTGTTAACACTCATAAGCATACTTCTTTTTGCAGCCGCAGATCCGTCGCCTACTATGCGGTCGGAAGCTTCG